CTTCGGAAACGGCGAAAACCAATGATAATTATTATTAGAAGAATTTTAAGTACAACTTTATTGAGTGATTTCACACAATTTAAACAAACAGGAAAACCTTTTTATTATTAATGGCATTGTTATTATATAAAATTGTTTTCCTGTGGAACATTTTCAAGCTTTTCCAGATACTTCCAAATGAGGGGTGTGTAATATATCATAAAAGTGTTTTCATTAATGAAAAGTTACATTAATGAAACCATGAAAGGCATTTATCCCTTTCTGTTAAACATGACATTTCCTGACCTTATTTTTCGAAGGATTGATCAAAACATGCCAGATGGATAAAACGTCTGGGACACTGATTTCAGATGAGGGAAAAAAGAGTTATCTTTTTTTATTAGAAGGATAAAAAATAATACGTGATTTTGATAACTAATTGCGTGATTTTTGTTAATACATTGAGATATTAATACAAATATTTCTTAAATAATATTTATAATATACCAATAGTTCATTCTGTATGTGTATACCAATAGATTACATTTAAATCATAATAACTTTAAATCAAAATTGTGTTGATTTACTGTCAATCTAACTCTATCACTTGACTTGAAATCATTACGTGTATTTAAAAAAAAAAAAAGTAATTCAATATATTTTTTTGTACAGTATATAATTAAAAACGTATTTTTTTTTTTTTATTGTGAACCAGTCAAGATATTTTTTAAAAATACCAAAATATTCTTTTGCCAAAAGTCTTCGTCTGGTCGAAATGACCCCAAAGTTATTTCCCTCTGTGTGCACCAAAAAATAATCCAAACCAGTTATCGATGAACAGAAACGTACTCTATATGTTTGCTTCCTTAACAAACTTCACATTTATTCTGACTAATTGAAGAAATACGTAGATACTTAATAATAAATAATAAAAAGGAGCAGTATGCGGGATCACCTTTATAACTTTAATTACGATAATGGAATCATCACCGCGAAGAGGTAATGCTGGGTTTATTCTCCACGCATATGTCACTGGCTTCCTATTATTATTTAGTTTATTGATGACAGATGTAACATTTGTTATCAGAGAGAAATGTAAACGTAGCTTTAAAATGAAAAAAGAAAATCAATCAGATAAAGCCATGTTGAACACGGATTATTTTTCTAAATTCCAAACCCTGTATTTAAATTAAAATGGACTATATTGTTCTAAAAAGAACAACATTTACATCGAGTTTTCCATCTTCGAAGCGTCTTTGTTACAAGAAATCTTACCTATAAGTTACAGCGAACAAAACAAAATTTATTTTTCAGAAATAATAAAAATGCAAAATGTATATTGTACATTACAAAGATCTTTATCAAAAGGTTGGAACTTCACCAGAGGTTCTAAAACCCTTCAAACTATATGTTTCTTGAAATTATTTTCTTCAACAAAACCAAGGTGTTTTTTTTATGCTCAGCTAAAAAAACAAAAAAAAAAAAATGGGAAATATTGAAGAACAATAAATTCCTTAGGATTTAAAGAAGAAATATTTCCAAAATTCTTTAATGAGATATATTACAATATGTCACATCTAAGGACATTCGTAATAGTGATAAGAGTAGCTCAACGAAGAAATAGTAGACAATGAAATGACGTCTGCTTTATAAAAAATATGGAAAGTTTCAAAATGTTGATGAAAATTTGTATTTTATCGTATCATGGTTTTAATTATAACAATTTTTTTAGAGTATCTTCTTTTTTCTTCTTTATTTTCTTCATATGGGCATTTTTACAGAGCCAGATAAATCGGATAGTTGGAGCGACACGATTCTTCATGGGTCCTTTGATCGGATGAGCGCCTGACTCCATACAAGAAAAAATTGGAATACAATAATTATCGGACTATATAAAAGTCACAGGGGAGCAAACTAAGTCGGTCTCGAATCTGAATATGGCCGTTTAAAACATACGCATAAACATAAAACGTAATTTTAACGAAAAAAATTTCCAATGTCAATTCATTAGTTTAAACAAAAAATATTTTGTAGAGATATCCTTGCCTAAATTATGTCGCTCTGATGGAGGCCTAAAACTTATAGCTGGACCAAAACTTCGGCAAACATTAAAATTACTTTTTTTTTTAATGTAATTTACAACTGTATTACATGAAAAATACAACAAATAAATGTGACATTGGTAACATGGCATGTTCAACATCAAGAGAAATGTAGAAATGTACCCATTGGTAGAACTCAAATTAAAGTTCTATATTAGAAGGTTCCGAGGCCAATTTCTTTGCAGACGCCTCGGAGGGTTATTAGGGATCGAGGAGGAAGCAAGGTTTGAAACGAGAGAGTTCGGATGGTATCTGGTATCTAGGTATCTGGATTGGGCCAAATCGGAAACATATGGAACATTAAGGCCTTTATGGATGATTTTATTTATGACAAAGTAAGGAGCGTTGAGGATTTTACGAAGGACTTTGGATTGTAAGGATTGGATACGAGAGGGATTCGATGGTTTAGTGGAGCCCTAAAGCTCAATTCCGTAAGTCTAAATAGGACTTATTATTATCATATATATGAGTCGTTTGTAATTGATTGAAAGCTTAGAGCGTTTGTCTAGTAAGTGCTGGAGTAGTCGAAAACGTCTAGTCGTTTCAGTCTGGTATGGAGGTTCCAAGTGGGTCGTTTGTCCAGGTGGAGTCCTAGTTATCGAATTTGTTCGACAGGGATCAGAGGGCAATTGTTGAAGGATACTGTAGGACAGGAAGTCATAGGTTTACGACAAAGAGTGAAGGTAATTTGATGGGATTTATTGGAATTTATTTTAATCCTCCAGTTTTGACACCATTTTTCAAGACTTGTGATGTGTGATTGAAGGGTTTGGGATGCAATAGATGGATCTTTATTAACTGATAGGATACACGCGTCATCGGCATAGGTAAACATTAAAATAAGTTGACTTGTATGAATCTGTATCTTTCATTATTGATTAAGTTTGATTAAGTTTCCTACCAACGTTTCCAGCAAAATTAAAAATTAATAAATAAAGGATTATACACAGGATGAGGGAGCATTTCCGCCTGACTAGACTGAATTTGGCAAATGGCCTGATTCAGCTAAAATCGACTAATTACAGATTCTGAAGCCAGCCTCAGAAAGTATAAATTTGTAAATTAAATTACCTTCCTTAATTGAAGCTTAAAGATTGATTAGCTTCCAGGCACCATTCCCAGTATCTAACTTAATGTTTCATTTTCTTCTTAGTAAGTTTTATTTATTTTCTTATTTAGGAGGGAGCAATTCTTTCTTACAACCTCACCTCCAAACACTGCCAGTATAATTGTTATTATTAGCAAGGGAACAAACAACGCTCCTGAATTATTTTATATTAGTAAATGTTAATGAAAAAAATATCATATTAATGTGCTTTATCATCATGTATGTTAAAATAATTTTACTTACTCTTAATTAAAAATAATTAATATGATTAACATTGTATCAAATAAATGTTCTTTAAGTAATTATTTAATTTAACTAACTAATACTCACTACATTCAAAATACTTTGTGCAATAGTTTATAAAAATATAGTGTTAAAAACACGTTACCATTTAATGCAAGTATTTTAAGTCCGATATTATTAAATAAACTAAATGAGATTTTATTTAAATAAAATGAGAGTTTATCGAAGGAGGAATACTAACGAACAATGCCCTACCTGAGCTAAGAAAGTAACAAACACTAACGTTGCATAGTGATGTGGTATGATTTTCCGTCCCAGCTCCGACATTGAAAACAGAGGGGAAAATCACTGTGACAAATCACAGTGATTTGTCACTACAGTTATTTTTTTCCGGTGGTAAGTATACAATGACTCCTTGGCGAAAGCTTCATTGTGAAATCACAGTTTAAGTGTTTAAACTTATATTAAAATAAAAAATAGATTTTTTTTTTCTAGTGATAAATTTTATATTTGATGAGGGAAAATATCTCTGGTTATTGTAGACAGCCCTGAAGAGAATATTTGAATTTATTGAATTTTTTATTTATATTTTAACAGTTTAATGAAAAACTTTCCGTTAATTATTTCAGACATGACTCATTAAGAAATATATGGCAATGAATGTTCAATTCATCCAAAGTTCAAAAAGTATTTTTAATAAAATTTGAGGAATAACTATTATTTTAGAAATAATTATAAATTATATCAACAATGCCCAGGTCGCTGAAGCGATAGGAGTGATAGTGCGGAGTGATAAGAGCTGTGATTTCACAGAGCCTATAGTGACCGTCACTGTTGGAGCACAGTGACCGTCACTGTTGGAGCATAGTGATCGTCACTGTTGGCGTACAGTGATTTTACAGCGCCAACAGTGTCCGTCACTGTTGTAGCACAGTTACCGTCATTGTTGGAGCACAGTGATCGTCACTGTTGGAGCATAGTGATCGTCACTGTTGGCGTACAGTGATTTCACAGCGCCAATAGGGAGTGTCACTGTTGGGACGCATTGATTTCCCAGTGATTGCAGAGACTGTCACTGTTGGAGCACAGTGATTTCACAGCTTCTACAGTGAATGTCACTGTGATAATCAGCTCCGGCCCAGTCACTGTGGCAGAATCACAGCTCCTCCTATATGGCCCCATCACTAACTTTGCATGTTATATCAAGAAAAGGTATTGAGCAGTTGCTCCAATTACGAGAGCAGGGAGGCCAAGGAAGCCAAACGCGTGTACAAAACAGACGTTGATCAGCATCCTGATAAACCGAACATTTCATAATAAAATAATTACAGGTTTGCGTTCCGGTACCGGAGGAGAAGGGAAGCTTTTAACTCTGGCATTAAGCTCGCACTCTAACACCTTGGCCGGAAAAAACCCGTACAACCGAAAAGACAAGGATGAGGGAGGAAAAAAAAAAAAAAAGTCTTCAAATCACCGAAAACTTCTTTATCAGCGATATAGAAGAAAGATGGCTGAGAGTGACCAAGTCATACAGGAACGTGTACAATAAAGCGCTGAGAAGATGCTATATGGAGAGATGTCCCTGGACCTCATCATCTAGTATGATGGATGAAGCTTCAACCTCAAGAGACAGGGGCTGGAAGCACTCCAGGAGGGTCTACAGCAGACTGTGAGGACCTGGAAAGGTGGGGCAGGATGGTCTGGTAGAAAACAATAGATGATTGGAATGGACAGTGGGGAGCAAATGAGAAGGGAATTCTACATTTATCAAATTCTTTCACATTGTCCCCTCCAGAGTTGAAACTAATTGTATAAATCCGAACTATTGTACCTCATATATCCTAATGGGGAATGGAGGGGTTGAGAGATAAGCTGAAGAATCGTGGGAAGAACATTTACCAACTGCTTGTGGAGCCCATGGTAGAAGGGCTGGCCATGCTACCTAGCAGATCTTAAGGTCAGGACCTTTTCGTGTGGTGCGCATCCCTGCACTTGGGCCAAACCACAGTTGGAACGATTGTCCTTGGTTCCTATAATAAAAAAATTATAAATCTAAGTTGAATAAGACAAATTTTAAATAAATAGTTTTATTGACAGTAGTGGTCTTATGTACCCCCAATGTTTTAACTCACTACTACTGAAACCCATATTCCAAAAATGGCTGGTAGTTGAAAAAAAAGAAGAAATGTTTCTAATAATTACCAAGATACAAATTGTTTGTCAGAAGAATATGTGACTCTTGTAAATATTCATAAAATTTAAATAAATTACAGCCTCTGAGCAACTCTCCCTATCATGTAATGTTAGTAACAAAGACTGTTGACGATTTGTTTTAACATTTTTCACTTTAGATTATTTTTCAGCTATTTGTATCATTAATGAATAGCTTACAATATTTATAATATATTTATGTATATGTTTTTAATTTTTTATATTCTTCTTTATAAGATTTTTTTTTGTTAAATATTAATTGCAAACTGTCAATAACATTAATAGATTATGAACTAAAAAGCAATATTTTATATGTTCTTGTAATGATGAAAGTTTTTGTAGTTTAATACCCTATTGTAGTTTAATAAGCTGAATAAATTTTAATTTTATTATTCTCTATTTATTAAATACATTTTATTATCAACCCTACAATCTGAATTATTGTAAATCTTAAGTATACTTTCCCAATCTTCAGTAGAATAAAATTTTGTTAATGGAATGATATTGATTATAAATAAATTACCATTTAAAATGAAGCCAATTTATGTATCAATCAATAAAAAGTTATCTATATTCACCAATGAATAAGTGGCCGACTTATCAGAAAATTGAGTTGGTGCCCCCATAGGAATGAATATAGCTGTTGGAAGGCAATCAAACTTTGATTGATACCTCTCCAAAATTGTTAACTTTTTTTTCAGAGCAAACATAATAACAATATTTGTTTTTTCTTAACAAATAAATTTTTAAAAAATTAACAACAGTTCTTAACTGATATTTTATGTATATTTTTTTTCAGATTTCACAGTCCAATAGTACTGTTGTGACACTAAACAATGTACAGAAAAACCTGACTGGTTTCTATGGATGTGAAGTTTCAGCTGATGCCCCATTATTCCACACAATAATTAAAACAGCTCCAGTAATAGTTACTGGTAAGAAAGCATTAACTGTATTCTGTGTAACATAATCTATAACAATTTAATTTTATTAACCTCTCACTAGTTGGATGAAATTCTAAAACACTTCAGGGAAATCATGGGACAAAATTAACACTTGGAAGCCTTATTTCTTTAATGTTTGATTTTATTTGGTAGTTACACAATATTTTAACATTGTAGAAATAAAATTTAAATCACCAGTGTTAATTTTATACCTAATTTTTGTAAAGCCAAAAGGAAGTTAATGCATTCAGCTAGGCCAGTTTTAGGTATGCAATGATTTTTGAGTGAATGGCTTAACCAATGTTCAAGTTTGATCAAATTATTCTGTGAACATTATAATTAATTATCAAAATAAATTTAAAATGAAATTTAAATTAATTATTTAATATTCGTGATTGTTTTATTTATTTTAAATTGAGCTCAAATACTGATACATTATTATATAAAGGGTTTTTAGTCTGTCCAATTGGAGATACGTAATTATCTTTTGTGCAAAGGGCTCAACCAATTTTTTAGATTTGTGAATAAAATTATTGAGTAACATCCCATGAATATTTTAAAACAATGCTTCAAAACATATTTTATTATAAATGATCTTTTCTTTGATTTCATATAGTATCAGGTCTAACCTCATGATCATATGTTATAAATATATATGGCCTATACTTGATATACTAAAACCCTTAAAACAAATAAAAGAAAACTAAAAAAAAAAAAGAAAAAGAAAAATTGGTCTTTAGAGATGGCATACATACAAGCTTAAACACTTTGGTGATATCTGAGTGAAGTTCCTTAATATGGATCTTGAAACTTGGTGGTACATTCTACTTCACATTATGGCTCCTTGAAAGTTTCATCTCCTGCTTCTGTATATGCCAACATATAGAAAGCTGTATTCAGCAGTGTGTTTAAACTTACACAAAGTAGATTAATACATTATCAGAAGATTCCTTAGATTCTCTACCATTATCAATGGTATTTGATTGGTAGACCAAGTTTCAACTTCAACTACAATCCCCTATTTTTTTAACAGTTCATATACAAATGCATTCCTTCTCTTAGGAATGTATGGTTATTTTATTTTTTTGAGCTTTGCAATCAATTTACAAATTTAAATTATAAAGCAAAAAATTGTGAATTAAAAAAAAAACATATTTAAGAGTGTAAAATTACTGAAAAAAAAAATATATCAGTAAATAATTTGAACAAGATTATTACTTTTTCCGAACATACCGTGAACTACTGCAATTCATTCATTGATTTTGATACCTTCCTTGTGACTTCAAACTTGTGCTGAAATTCGGCATAAATTATTTCTTTTGTTCTCAGTGAATGCAACCCCCGACCAGCTTCCTAACCATATACTTAAATACTGTTAAATGTAGAATAAATAGAATTGATGTGGAACTAACAATTAGTGGTGTTTAAAGTAGAACTCAGGTTTCCTTCTAATTGCAGGAAAGCTATTGCTCTTATAATGAATAAAAATATTGACTTTTGAACAAGTATTTGAAAACTGAAATGTAAAAAACATACGTTACCTGGAATATTGGGAATATTACCTGGGAAGACCAGGTTAAATTAATATCAATGGGAATAATTTTTTTTTTTTAACTGGCCATCATACAAGTGTTAAATCATTAAATTTAAATATCAGTTAACAATTAAGTTGAAACTGGACATAAACAAGGTGAGTAATCACTTATTTATAACGGCATTGTGAACAATGTAAATAGACCTGAGGATAGTGATAGATAACAAGCCGGCCATATACATTCGTTAATCCGACCAGTGGGCTGCTGCCCTTTGGCGGAAGCAGATCTACGTTACTTAGACTTCCACAAACTCGCGTAATATATACGTAATTGATAAAGGACATTTTTTTTTTCCAAATTATTACAGTTACCTCTAATTAAATTAATATGAGATGCGCTATTTTCACATGGTAATGTCGAGCAAAGGTAACAATCGAACTTTAAGATCTAGGAGTCTCGATACCACAAAGAGTTCACCCATCAAGAAAAGGGCTAGACGCTCTAAAAAAAATACCCCGCCAGCTACACCAGAGAGCTCAGTTGACGAAGTTGAAAATCAACCTGGCACATCATCACAAAATATGTCAACACAAGCTATACCAATACAAGGTACGCTAGAAGAATCGCCTTTTTTTACAGCTAATCCATTCCAAGTGCTGTCAAACACACAGAATGAACAAATGGAAGCAGTATCCATCCCTAGTGAACCTAAACCTCCACCAATATTCGTTAGAAATATAAAAAATTTCCAATTAATGTGTCAACAATTAAATAATACAGTGGGCTCAGGTAAATACGTATGCCAAAGCCGCACTAATGACACGAAATTAATGCCTGACACCCCAGATACGTACAGAAAAATTGTCAAGTATTTATCTGACACTAAGGCGGATTATCACACATATCAACTGCGCCAAGAGAGAGCGCTCAGGGTGGTGATCAGGAGATTACACCCATCAACACCGCTGGATGCCATTAAAGAAGAACTAACTGAGATGGGGTTCCGTGTTCGACAAATAGTGAATATATTCAAGGAAGATAGAGAACAGCCTGGTACAAAAAATAAAATACCGCTCCCACTATTCTTTGTTGACCTTGACCGAACGCCCCAGGTCGAAGAAATCTACAAGGTCACACGCCTTTATTACACTAGCGTTGTTGTAGAAAAGCCCTACACTAAGCGCGACATTGTACAATGCCATAACTGCCAGGCTTATGGTCATACGAAACGCTATTGCCACCACATTCCTAGATGTGTCAGGTGCGGTGATCAACATAAAACTGAGGACTGCCAGAAGTCCAGAAGAACACCAGCAGTATGCGCTTTATGCCACCAAGGGCACCCAGCGAACTACAAGGGTTGCCAAACATATAAGGAACTGAAAGCAAGAATTTATGCAGCTCCAAGAGAAGAACGGCCATCCAGGCCACCAAGACAACCCTCTAGAACTGTAAATACAAGAGTGTCCTATGCTCAGATGTTCAAAGGAGACACTGCACCCACACAAACTCAGGCCCTGCCACAAGAACCTCAACCTCGAGTATTCACATCTCAACCACAAGACCCTTATCCATCTCTGAACCTAGGCCTAATAACCAGACATTCATTCCTCCTCCTCCCAATGCCACTGACCTCACAAGCCTATTGACTTCTTTCCTCTCTGAATTCAGGTCACTCATCACTCCTCTCATTTCCTTGCTTACCAATGTTGTATCCAACCTCATCCCACTGTCGAGAAATCCTTAAATGCCCCAATCAAATCCCTCTCCGTTCTCCTTTGGAATGCGAATGGTATTCGAAATCACGTCAACGAACTAACAATCTTATTACAGGACAAAAACATTGATATAGCATTAATAACTGAAACTCGACTTACCAACAAACGACCACTTAACATCCCCAACTATCATATCTATCGAACCGACCATCCTGATGGAACAGCACATGCTGGCACTGCCATAATTATCCATCAATCCCTTTCCCATCATCTATTCCCTTTGCTAACCCATAATTTCCTACAATCCACTGCCGTGATAATCCAAACTTCCCTTTACCCAATAGCAGTAGTCGCAGCATACTCCCCGCCTAAAATACCCATCTCAGAATCCCAATTAACTTCCTTCCTTAACTCCTTAGGACACCACTTCCTTCTAGGTGCAGACTTAAATGCTAAACACCAGCAATGGGGAGCCAGAACCACAAATTCCCGAGGACGAACATTGCTATCTGCACTTAATTCCCATCACAGCAACATCCTCTCACCCAATTCTCCCACATACTGGCCAACAGATCCTAACCGCAATCCCGATCTCCTAGATTTTTTCATCCACAAAGGTCTAGGGTCCCTTCATTATTGCATCTCAAGACTTGATGATCTTTCCTCAGACCATAGTCCCCTAATCCTAACGGTCTCCACATCACCAATTCCCAAACCACCTCCACCTTCATTTATCAGGGGGCCAGTTAATTGGAACCTCTTCCGTCAAATATGGATGATAATATTGACCTCAGAGTTTCCTTAAAAACACCCGCAGACCTAGATGAAGCAGTATATTCCATGACTACCTTGATCCAACAAGCAGTTTGGACTGCATCTTCACCTTATCCTTCTAAAAAATACCGCAAAATAAATCCTCTACCCCAAGACCTACTGGACCTTATTAATAGAAAACGATGCTCTAGGACCATCTGGCAAAGAACCAGGCATCCTGATGATCGGAAATCATATAACTATTATTCCAAGCAGGTAAAACAAAAACTGGCTACGTTTAGATCCCAATCCTATAATTCCTATCTTTCCTCACTATCTGCAAGTGATAACTCCCTCTGGAATGTAACTAAAAAAATCCTTAAATTCCAATCCATTTCCCACCCCCTCCGCCGTGATGATGGTTCCTGGGCTTCGTCAGATGAGAATAGAGCAGAAGAGTTTGCTAAACATCTATCGTACACATTCACTCCTCATCCTGAACTCCATCCCTCCCATACTGCTGAAGTTAAAGAATTCCTCTCTTCACCGATTCCTCTCTCCTTACCTCCTAAAGCCGTCAACCCCTCTGAGGTCAAATTCCTTTTAAAGAACCTAAAACCTCGCAAATCTCCAGGACACGATCTCCTTACTTCCCAGATCCTCAGACAACTTCCCAAAAAAGCAATTATATTCCTTACATACCTATTCAACTGTATCCTCCGCACAACCCACTTTCCTCTGGTGTGGAAACACTCCATAATTATCCTCTTTCCTAAACCAGGTAAACCTGTTAATTGTACATCATCCTATAGACCGATAAGCTTACTTCCGATCCTTTCCAAAATCTTTGAGAAAATCCTTCTCAAACGCATCCTACCCATACTGGAATCCCACAATATCCCTTCCCATCAGTTTGGATTCCGCTCAAGACACTCCACTGTCCAACAAGGCCTTCGCGTTGTGGACCACATATCCTCTGCACTTGAAAACAAGCAATATTGCACTGGTGCCTTTCTGGACGTAGCTCAAGCTTTCGACCGGGTGTGGCACGATGGCTTGCTTTTCAAGCTCAAAACCCATTTACCTCAACCCTTGTATCTAGTCCTCAAATCCTACCTTTCAAATCGCTCCTTTCAAGTCCGCTGCGGCACTGAACTCTCCAAACATTATCCAATTGAGGCTGGTGTCCCCACAAGGCAGTGTCTTGGGCCCAGTTCTCTACATCCTTTTTACCGCTGACATCCCTTCAAGTCCTGATACCTTCCTAGCAACATTTGCTGATGATACTGCCATCCTATCCTCCCACTCGGATCCTCTAATTGCGTCCCGGAACCTGCAAAGACACCTCTCCTTCATTGAGCAGTGGTGCAACAACTGGCGCATCAAAATTAATGAATCAAAATGTAAACATGTAACTTTCACTCTTCGACGCAGATCCTGTCCTCCAATCCTTTTTAATTCAATTCCTCTTCCCTACTCAGACACAGTCCGATACCTTGGCTTCCTTCTGGACAAAAGACTGACTTGGAACCCACATACGAGACTTAAAAGACAAGAGCTTAACCGACGATTTGGTCAGCTATATAGACTACTAAACAGAACATCTCATCTCTCAACAGAAAACAAATTATTAATCTACAAGACCATACTGAAACCTATCTGGACCTACGGACTTGAGCTGTGGGGGACAACTAAATCATCGAATATCAAACGCATCCAATCCTTCCAGTCTAAAGTCCTTCGAACAATAGTCAATGCTCCATATTATGTCACGAACAAGACCCTACACCATGACCTTAACATCCCATATGTCCATGACATCATCCCATCCAGATTCTCCAACTTTCACCAGAACCTCATACATCATCCCAATCCTCTAGCCCAATCCCTATCCAGCTCCGAGCATCCATACCATCCCCCTCGAAGGTTGAAACGGCAGTGGCCTCGAGATCTTTTGTAAATATGCCTTTGGAGTCCTGGCAATGGCCAGCTTCTCCACTCATGTCCTGAGCGTCTGTGGCTCTAGTGCCCTCTTCCAGTCTCCACTGGCTTCTAATACTAGTGATGCGGCTGGAAAAGTGCGCTGGGATCTTCCGGAGTCTTGCTTTGCCTTCCACGTGTGGGGGAAAAAGCCTGGTTCGGAGATTCTTGGGCGAATGTATATATTGTATATAGTTATGATTGTGTTTAGAAGTTTTTATTTTATTTTATTTGTTTATTATTATTATTTTTTCTTTTCTTTTTATTTATCTTCTTCATCAGTATTATTTATTTACTTCTTATATTTATATTTATTTCTTTATTATTTGTATATATTGTATGAATGAGAACTTTTAGCCCTAATGCTTATAGCCCTCCAGCAGTGGCTGCATGTATTATTATTCAATAAATAGATTAAAAAAAAAAAAAAAATTTAAATATCATACATTTGTGTTAAAAACGATTCCACTGAAAGTTATAAAAATGTTAACATCAAAAGCCACCATTAGTGCTGCGTAAAGGAGAGGCTTTAAAAAAAATGATTTTGTCCTGGGATCCTGCTATCACTAGATAAGGATTAAGATGGTTCTGAATGAAAGAAATTTATCTCAAACAAATAAAATTCTTATTCTTCTTATCCAAATTATTTCATCCAACCAAAAATTATTATTACTATTGTTATGCTTTGCAGAATTTTTATTTTTATTTTATTTTTTTTTTGCAGAAGAGCCAGAAGCCCTGCCTGAGGTAATGGTGGAAAAAACAAAATACTCTTTGGGTGATAGAATTCGTGCAAATTGCTCATCCCGAGGAGGATTTCCCCCTGCCAACCTTACCTGGTACCTCAATGGTAAACAGGTATGCAACTATCGAATAAATCATACCTTGTTTATTATATATTTTATTATATGCTTTTTTTCTTTAAAATATTATTTTATACTCATTTCAAAAAAAGATTTACCAAATTTCTTTCAGCTCAACCCAATTTTTTTAAACTCCTGGTGCATTTTAATTATTCTTTCATGAGCCCGGTTTCTCAATCCTGAAACTGATCCTTCCTTTTAGGACAATTATTAAAGGATAAATGCTTCAAAAACAATTCTCACAGGATTTTTTACATAAATTAAGATACTTCTTTCTTTTTATTTTGGCCTCATAGCTCTTGCATGCTAACAAGTTACATTTGGTCTCTGTTGGCAATAATTTTGCTACTCTCACCTTTCCTCTGGTAGTATCAATGTCTCTCAATCTCATTAAGAGTTTTGATTTATTATGTATCCAGAACAAATCAGGTATACTACCAGATCACTAAATGTATCCTCAGCTACTGTGAAGAGGATATTAAGACCAAGATGCACATAAATGAGTCTGTCTGTCTGCCTATTTCCAGCAACGGTGGCTAAAGCTGAACCTTGCTGAACATACATTACAGTTGCATAAAAACAGCATAGATTAGGTTCCTATCTATTGGGAAAACTAAAAATGACTCTATTAGAAATGAAAGAATATGAGAGCAACTGGAAGCTTCTGAGCTCAAAACCACTCTAGGTAGCAGAAAACTCAAATAGTTTGGTCATGTCTGTTGTATGAATGAAGATATGGATCCTAAAAGGGTAATAGAGGCTTAAACCACTAGGAAGAGATCAACAGGGCGTCCTAGAGTTTCATACCAGGCGTTTGTACTAAGGATTGGGAGTAGACGAGGCAAATCACTCAATTACATAAAGCAGATAAGCATGGACTGGATAGCGGCTGCTAGAAATGTCATGGGAGGGGACGAGAAATAGAAGATGAAGATTTATTCTATTTATTTATCTTAAATCAAAACAATGTTTTAACTACTTCTTGAAATATCAGTACTTATTTTTCTTACTATCTGTATTTTTTTTTAATATGTCCACCTACATCCACCATGTTTTTTATGTCTAATAAGCGGGACAATGTGTTTAAATATATTTTATTTATCTGTAATTACTTCTGAGCACCATAGGACCATAGAATCTTTTCATTTTATACAATTGTTTCATTAAGAAGTCTTAGCCAGTAATCATAAGAAATTCTGCAATAGCAACCTTTCTCAGGAGTTCTAATGGTACCCACTATTCAATAAGCAATTATTTCATTGCTTCTCTACAGTATTCTTCTTTAGGAATTCTAGTAACTCAACCTGATTTGCTTTATTTATTTATTCTGTATCATTATGAAATGATATTTTATTTCCTTGTTGCTATAATGCTGTAATTACAGTTTTCAATTTCAAGAAAATGTTTTCTAGTAAATAAATGATTATAGCAAAAATTACTGAACGATTTGTTGCTTTGAATTTTAAAAAATATGGTACACCCTACAAGCATAATTTTATAAAAAGATATAATAGAAAAACCATTAACGACTCTTTCTCCATAGCTGAATAATATTTTAATCTCATGTTCTTTTTTTCTGTTTTGTAAATTTCATTTAATTTATTTTTTGTTGCAACTATCTGTAGATCAGATCTATGCTCCATTGATATCTAGAGGATTAAGTTCTAAGAAAAAGATATGTACATCTTCTGTGTTAAAACTTTCTATTCAATTAAATGTTTTTCTTACTGAAAGCTTTGAAAATATTTCTTACTGCCACTTGTTATTCATTCAAATTATTATACAGAATGAAGAAATAAACTTTTTTTTTTTAATATTTGTTTATAAGGTGACATTTTGTTCAATTTCATATCGATTATGAAGAGGCCTTTATTGATTTACTATATCTTTTCAGATTAAAAATTGGCAAAATATAGAAACAAAGGAAAAAGCAGGCTTGACAGAAATTGAATTAGAGGCTAAAACAACCCTATTTAGAGAGGGAAAACTGAGACTCAGATGTTTAGCTACACAGTTTTCACTCTATAGACGGAGTGCAGAAGTTGATCTTCAAGAAGATACTCCTCAGCTTGCTCATGTCAAAGGTCCTACTACTCCTCTGCCAGTTTTAGGTATGAACTTAGATTAGAATGGATCCAATAATTCCATTTATCATATTCATTGTGCGGTTGGAGGAGGAGGGGTAGGAGGGATTTTATCAAACCTTCAGTTAAAACATAGTCCTATCTTTAATAAAAATGTGCCAAATTCGTACACCAACACCACTTTGCACTTGTGAATGATGAAGCAGGCAACACCTTAACACACACTGCCACCACTGCCTCATTTCAATTAAACTCTTGAATTTTTTTATTCAATTGATCAACATTATGTCAACATTATGAATAATAACATTAAAACATTACAATTAAGGAATAATTCAAAGAACATTAGTCTTGTGATCTTAGAATTATAATGATATCTACATTCCTCATTAGTATTTACATGGACTCCAGCATATATATTAACTTTCACTTACGTATATATGCAATATATAGTAAGGATAAGTATTGAGAACGTGAAAATTTTGGAATCTGAGTTTTCAACAGAAAAACTTGTTTTGAGGTCTCCTGAGTCCAAATAACCAAGACTCAAAAAATGATGTTGTGTGTGTGTGTGTGTGTCTGTGTGTGTGTGTGTGTCTGTGTGTGTGTGTGTTGGCAGTCTAGCTCAATAACGGAAATGGTACGGAACCAATATTACGTATTTAAGATAGGTATATGCCTTAGATGGGACAACAACTTTTTCGTAAAATTGGCTAACCGGAAGTGCCACTTTATATCAACGCTAAAACACATTTTTACAATTTTCTCAAAAACGGCTATGGCCGATTTTGAATAAACTCGGTTTATCATTGTATAATTAAGTGGTCTTTAATATCATTTAGGTCTTATACCCATTGATGTCACTTTACACTGCTTAAATGCCCAATTTTCATATGCGTCATCCCCTAAAGTACCTTTAATGTGGTTTATTTTAAATAATTAACTATCTCTCATTATTAAGAGTTACAAAAAAATGCTAAATATAACTTTTGAAAGAATTTGATAATTGAATAAAGGAAAAAAATAAAATAAAAATGCTTATCCAGGTCGAGAATGAATCTCCGGTAATACTAGTCAGAAGGTATAGGTATAATATATCGTTGGAAAGCAAAGAATTTTAGAAAAAACAATATCTAATGTAGAAAGTTGTAGAAAGTAACAGAGAGTGGTGAAAAAATTATAAATAATAATTTTTAAAAACTAATATTATTTAACGATAATCACACATTTTCAAGGAAATTAAATGAAATTTACTAACTAAATCTAAACTTTAAACATATTTTTAAGTTTTAAATAGTATTTAAAATCCACCTAATCAAGGCAATGCCATTGTTTAAAAAACTATTTCATTGCACATGTGTGAAAGAAGCAGTGAAATATCAAATCATTTCATGGATCCATAAAGCATATGTTTATAACCTTAAATACATTTACTGTATGATGTAGAGTTGGTTGACCGTTGATATGATATGAGAAGGAATTAGTCGAGGGTGCGGTCAAAAAATAAAAAAAAATTAAAATATATATATATATAAATAATTTTAATTTTAATTAAAATTATATTAGATTTTATATAATTAAAATTATAATATAATTAAAATTATATTATATTAGATTAAAATTATTTATATATTTTAATTTTTTTTTATTTTTTGACCGCACCCTCGACTAATTCCTTCTCATACATTTACTGTAGTTTAATAATTCTAGATCTGATATTAGATTTTAATAATTAGGTATCAATGTCAGTTTATTCCAAAAAAATCATCATGCAACTCTTTAGAAAATTATTTAATTTTCTAAGTTTGATGAAATTTTCCTTTGTGATATTCCAACAGTATCCACTTACAATTAGTCTGACAACTTTTGAGTTGTCTATGACAGACAATGCAAATCTCTTTATTACATTTTAGTAAACTTTGTAATGGAAAATACCTGTTTAATAACTAATATTCATAGAATCCATAATAAACGGATCGTGCAATCAATAATCAATGAATCATACAATCCATAATCAACCGATGATATAATAAAGGAAACTTTTGTTATTTTAATGGTGTTTATGGTTTGTTAGCTGTAATTTATTAGCTTTAGCTCTTTTAAAAATACAATTAAAAAATTTTATAATAGCCCAACGTGGCCATAAAATAATTTCTATACAAAGTTGAGGGGTAAGTGAAAGTTGTGTGTTACGCTCACCAGATTTGTTTGTTTCATAGATATAAAACTCAAAATTATAATTTAGCAAAAAGAATTAATTCGTATAATATTCGACAAAGCAAAAGTTAAATTCAGAATTGAGTTTAGCACCTTAATATATTCAGACAATGGAAAAGATATTGCCATTAAAGGTTACAAATCTATTGTAACTGAAATATGAAGAATTGTTATGTTTTTAATAAATGTCAATGCTATTAAATGGAAGTCAACTTCATTGGCTGGATATTTGGTAATGTTGCATATGAGATAAGTTACAGATTAACTTAGCTTAGAAAGGTTTGAAGCTTTTGTTAGAGTTATTAAAAAAATAATAAATGTAATTTGATTACATCTATTCATTTATATGACTTAGATACCGATTATAACAAAACAACCTACACTCGGCAGTAAAATGTTCATATTTTACAAATTGCATTAGCGAATTATTCTTATCAAACAAATATGTTTTTTTCTTAAAAGAGTAATAACCATCAATACACAAGAAGAAGAACTCCACTTCCTAATGTGATGCACAATCAAGGAAACTGTTTTTTTTTCTCATTATTTTTATTAAACAATTTTCATTTTTTTAAATACAATAATACACAAAAATTGAACACAAATAATTTATATAATTCTTTTTTATGCAGCTGTAAAAATATAGCAAAATTAATTGTTAGATAATTGAAAATATATTGTCGGTTTATTATAAAAAGTCATTAAGTAATATTTTACTGAATTTGAGATAATCAAATTTAAAGTTTCTGATTCATTAAAAAATACTAAAATAGTAATTTGATTATTTATTTTTTATTATTTGCAATTCTAAATATGTATTCTATTATTGGCAATTAATTAAAATGCTTAACATGAACATAACAATGAAAAACAATTTTTTTTAAATGAAGCCACGATGCACATAGTGACTTTTTGCACTATAATTTACTTTTATAATCTTGGAAGTACATAGAACAGGAGTTAGACTTAGCTCACCAACTACTAACTAGTTTTATTAACCATCTGATCAATTAATCCAGTGCAAGAAGTCATTAAGTACCAGATAGTGAATTTTGGCATTCTATTATAACATTATTTAGAGAACAAGAGATCATTAAGTACCAGTTAGTGATTTTTGCTCTGTAAAGTCAGAACATCGTGCACTTAGTCAAAGTATTTTTTATGTATAAAAGAATTTAAATTATTTTTATATAATTAATTAGTTAATGTATCGATAAATGAGATCCAAATTAACAACTATGTGCTTTCAAGTAAAAATCAGAAGTGTACTTAGTGACTTTTTGCAATCAACCGATGATATATTTGATGAAGAGCATTTGTTAGATCAATATTTTTTTACTATGGATTACATTAAAAATATATGCTCCTACCTTAATCTAAAGAGAATTTTTACTTAAAGATAATCTTTAAGAAAATTCCTATTACACTACTAAAGTTGGTAGTTAGTTGATAAGAATAATATACCAATTAAATTATGTTTTAATGTGCATTTTTTATTTTATAATATTTGTTTGTCTAGAGCATAACTGTGCAGCGGCTAGGTCTCCAGCAGTTTGGCTTGGTTTAGTCCTCTTGCTCCTCAAATGGACAATTCCAAGATAACTAATTTTTATAACTTAAACAATTGTAAATACATAAATTATATATAAATACTAGTTAATGTAAATATAGTTTATACTGAGATAATTTAAAATATGTATACGATGTTAACATTCAAAATTTTAAAAAAGAAAATTAATATAGTATAATCAGCAAGTTATTGGTCTAAATGTTTATAAATAAATTGTTGCAATTTATTTTTCATTAAAATAACTTTTGTCGAAAAAAAAAACTTTGTCGATTTCCTCTTTACTCTATATTGTAAATATTGTATATAAAATAATTTGATAAGAAGTTATGAGTGAAAATGAAAATTAATTTTAAGTACTTACATATGACAATACCATAACAAAATTTAACCTATTGCGAATTTGTAAACAAATTTTAAGTAGGTGATATTAGTCATCAGATATTTTAAAATGAATGTTTTCATTGTAAAGTTTATGTATTTAAATGTTGGAAATTTCAAAGTATATAAATCTATAAATTATACCAAACAGAAGAATATGTAATAGCTGTTAAATGAATGAATTGCTTTCATAAGGCTAGTAGTGAATGTAATTTGATATTATTTATATTTTATCAAATTGTTTTATAAGGCTTTGCGCTTCAATTCATGAAATTTATGAATGTTGAAAATTTTATTAAATTATATTGCTATGTAGCCTTATGAATCGTATTAATATATATATATTATTTCTACTAATGTAATAAAGAACTCTCACTTTTCAATAATATTGATCAATTAGAATGACTATAAAGTGTGGCCAACGTGTATATAACATTGATGATAAAACATAAATTTGTAGGAACATGTGATGTGAAAAAGTGTTAATCAGTTTAACTTTCTCATTTTCACCAGTTTTCTAGAGAATGATGTCTTATTTTATTTTTAATAGAGACAACATATGTATTTCTAATAATACTATTATTTCAGCTAAATTTTCTGAATAAAGATTATTTCTCAATTAAAAAGTTACTATATTCAAACATGGTCTGTAATATGCAAAGCATTAACATTTGGTTAGCAGTATTCAAATATTTCAAGTTGCTTTATTTGGTTTTTGAATAGTTCAGTATTCTTAGTTGTATTATATATATATATATATATATATATATATATATATATACTTTTTTTTTTTTTCTCAACTTGAGTAAAGATTGAATTAGAAAAAAACAGATACTCTGATTTCTGATGTTTTTTAGAGTTTCTATTTGATAGTTTCATTGTAAACACATTTTCCCAATTTTTTAAATTGTAAACCTCAATCCTTTAAATATAAACAAAATTTGATCAATTGCATTCTCTTATTTACATGATTGTTTTATTTTAATTTCTTGAAACTCTGAGAGAGTCGTATCAAGAATGCAATACAAACATTTGGTCATGTTCATACTTTTGGTAAATCAAAGCTAATAAGAAAACAAAATATATCCCATACAATGACAATATGTCTAGGATACTTTACATTTTAAAAGTTTTGGATTTTCATTATTACTCTTTCTTGATACTTCAGTATCATGCATTGTATCAGTAAATTTAAAAATGGACCTGTAATTACAATCAATATTACTAAAGAAAAAGTTTGAATAATTTTTTATCTAGATTATTTAATGTAAACGACAATCAATTATAAATTTAATTTATAATTAAAAGAACTTATCCTATATGTTTTGTATGATAAAATTATGTAAAGTTGTTATTTTGTAAAATTATATGCCATAATTTAATCTATTTTACTAGATATTCTTTAGAAAAATATTATTTATTTTGATTCTATTAAAGTCTTTCACTTACATCTTAACATTAAATTTTTAGTTTGATTTATTTATTATTGGTAATTGTGGGTTAATGGTTGACTGTAGTGAATAATTGAAGAGACGCATGGTTGGGGTGATCAATCAAATAAAAATAGAGAAAATAAATAATATTTATTTTTGTCTTTTTTTTTTTTTTTTTTTGACTGATCATGGTAACCATCCTTCTCTTCAATTATTTATTTAATAATTTATATAGCCTCCTTAAACCCAGTCTTTGTCATTTTCATTGTCTTATAGTTTAAATTTTTCACCTTTATAGATAATAATAAATACATCTAAATAGAAATTAAACTGATAGATTTGAATTAAATATTATAATGAAAAAAAAAAAAGGAAATATCTTAAGATCGTAATTTTTAAAATTATAATTTAAGGTTTATTCACATTTTAAATACTAAAACTTAATTTTATATACATGTTTACTTTGATACTGTATTCTGAGAACACAAGGAACATATCAATAGAAAATGTTTTTTTTCTTAGAACCAACATCAGACACAGTTTTAGTTCTATAAAGAAGCCTCCATGCCGTTTCCTTTTACATCTGTTTTTAAATCTCCTATCGTTTCTATTATATTGGCCGAAAATTTCAAAGCTTCCTGCTCTTTAGGATGATAGGAATCCAACTATTAGAATTCATAACATTACAACATTTTGTCTTCTTGCAATGTGATACTTTATGTATAATTTGGAATTTTTTCATTATTATTATTATTTAGTCATAATGTATCTACTTTACACTGATTTAATAAACTATTGACAGTAAACTTTATTCAGAGAAGTCTAAATCTGTTAATACACATCTTAAATCAGGACTATGATGACCTAAATACTTGCCTATGTAAATATTTGATTTATAAGTGAAATATCCAATAGATAGTGAAAAAACATTTAAGCTTTCCAAATGCTATTCCAATGCATAAACATGACAGATAATTAAAAGTTTCTGCAGTATGCTCTGAGTCAATTATAACAGTCCAGAGATTCATTAAGCTGATGATGAAGCATATGTATATACTTGTAATAAAAGTTACTTGTTTTTTTTAAACATAAATCTTTAGATAGCTATCCATGTGATTCAACTGTAAGATGAATTGGAAGATATTCATGCTTAGATCATTGTTCTTTAACTATTTTATGTTGATTTAAATATAACTGATGTAATATTATTAATAACTGTATAAATAATAACTTAATTGTAATTATGTAATAATACTTAATAGAATGAATAAAAGTTTTATATCTAATGATGTTCTTGATTATACTGTTCAAACCTCTGCTAATAAATATCAATACAGAATTAAAATACATTAAAAAAAATTCTTGTCAAAATTATTTGTACAAATGAACTTTCTGGATGTCTATTTAGGTAGTTCATCTCTGAGATACAGAACAAAATTTAACAATTTATATTTTTGATAAAAGTTACACCAAAAGCTTCTTGATCAATAGTAAATCATTTGTTCTCTTTTAAATCTGTTTAGTTTGCTATGAAATAGAGAAAATATTTATTTTATTTACAACTGCTTTTATTATAGGCTATAACGTTGATGGTTAAAAGCTACCCATGTAATTACAAAAACTTCAATCTCTCTATCACCAACCATCAGCCAATAAACAATAAACTACTCTTTATTACTATTTCCATATTAAACTTCAGGGACATAACAATCGAATAATTAACGAAACGGCCGCAGTTACATGCACATTAGTGATGGGCGTTTCTGCTACTTTTGAAAAACGTAAATGAACTGTTCGTTGACCAACAACAACAGTTCTTAAGAACTGTTGAAAAAAAAAATAGTTCATAGAACAATGCAACGATTCATGGAGTAATAACTATTCGTTTAATAACAAGTCTGGAAATGAATGAATCGTTTTATCTATGAAGTTCGCCATTGTTCGAGCTTGAAATTGATAACCTTTGAATTTATTTGTAATATAGCATGAATGTTTAATCTTAAAACTTTCTTTTTAACTAATTAATACTAAAAAATATTTTTTGCATATAGAACATTTTTTATTTCAATAATATTTTGACTTTCTTGTACGTTCGAAGTTTAAAATTATAATGCTTAGTCATCATGAGCCTTTTAACTGTAGTTTAAACAATTTTTCAATTGCTTGCCTTTTTCAAGTTTTATAGAACATAATAGTGTTTAATTTTATTTATTCAATTAAATCGATTTATGTGAATATGTTCAGTCATACAAATTATTTTCGGTCTGCAATACACTAATATAGATAGACACGTCTAAAAACATAAACTAATTTTGTCTACAAATATACTTAAGTTAATTCAGTAACATAGTAACTATAATGAAAGTTTTTATTTATTTCTAGCCTTCATTAATAATCTGAGCTAAAAATTACACCCCTAAACTTAACAGTTGAAACATATCTAATACAAAAAAACTGTTAAATTATTTTCATGATGAACTGATAGGTTCGTTGGCAAGCAGAAAGAGCTTTTGTTTCGTTTGGAAAAAACGAAACGAAAAACAGATCAAACAGCAACTCGACTAATGACAAACGGGTGAACTAAAGAAAAACATCTGTTCTTATCCGTTTGGAAGAACAGTTCATTCGTTTGAGATCAAGAAATATTTTTTTTAAACGTTTGGCGTTTTCTTTCTCATCCCTAATGCACATTATAAGGCGATTAAAAAGGTGCTGCATGTGAGATCTTTCATAAATCAAGAAATAACAGTTTATTCGCAACAGGTAGAAATAGATCCTCCCTTCCTACTCATAACAGTTAGAATTCGTTTCTACATTAGAATGACAGTTATTACACTAATATGCAATAGAAAAGCTTCGTACAGACAGAACTTCTCCACATACACAAACAACTACCTTAACCTATAAGGATATAAATGGAAGCATACGAATGATTAGTTCTTCTAATATATGGGCATACACTGCATTAGATCTGTACTCACTCTATCACAATATAGACTGGAATGTGCACTCAGACCTATGTAGCAGCCGCCATTTCCCAATACAGCTTAAATTTTCTAAAACCTTTGATACATGCAGCAGAAAAACAAAATAGAATATTGAAAAAGCGGATTGGACCAAGGGACATAACCAAGATCAATATATAGATGGATTTAAGTAGCTAAAACGTTCATTATAGAGTTGTTCTTGTGCACTATGGTTAAAGTGGTTTATCTGGTCGTGATTTGATACCAATCCAGGAAGTCCCTATTTTAGCTTTTCAACCTTCTTCTAATAGGTATTATAGACATGGAGTCCGTTATCCTACAATCTGCAGCAAATCGTTTAGGTTATTCGGTAGAACAAAAGAGCTATTTGGAGCAGGACAATACCCCGCAGAGCTCTGGGAAGTATTCAAATGTTGGCGGGCCCAGCTGACCGAATCGATTGGAAGGTTGGGAAGATGGCGGGCGTCTGACTCAATCCGCCGCTAACAGTTGGCTGTGAGAACAACACCGCGATGGTTTGACGTCTCGTTCCGTCTCGAAGAACTATCTTCAACCGGCATCAGAGGTTAGATGTTGTTGTTTTACTGACTTTACAAACCTCCATTGCCCTTGTTTGGTTTATCTTGTAGCATATGCTTGGCCTCATTCTATTTATACCAGTGAAACGTGAGCCAGCTCGCTGCTTGTCAAATGGTTTTATGCTTGGTACCATTATAAGATTAAATAGGCCTTCAAGAGATATTATTATTCGTGTGTAAATCCAAAGGCATAAAATGTGCGATAAATTTAGACACGATTGGCTCACTGCCATTTCAGAAAGTTTACAGGAAATTTAATGTTACAATGAACCCGCATTTAAATAAAATACATATATAGTTCCATGATTTTTTAATTATTTATTGGCTTGGCAAAAAAAGTAAATAAATAACTACATTAGAATATAGAAGGAAAATAATATATATATCTTCATTTATACAGTAATGTCCTATTAATATTTTGAAAATACTATTATTGTTGTACTGTTTTTTTTTTTTTAAATTGAAAACAACATTTTGTTTTTATTTTGACTTAAAATTTTAAGTTTATAAAAAACACTTACGTATTTAAAAAGTTGATACATCTTATGTTTCAGAATTCTTATTAATATTTATTCAGTATCGAATAAAACTAAATTTAAGAAATTAACAGGTTTATATACGTGTAACATATATATATTTAACATAAAATATATCTAACATATTTTATACTCCATTCTATAGAGATTCAGTTTCCTGTAAAAACACCATTTCAGTTATATCCATATATGAACAACAGAAATTAGGCCAAGAATATGACAATACACATACTTTTTATGTACTTTTAGAAAAAATATATAATCCATTAATTCTATCTCAGCAGTAATTAAATTATGAATTTGATTATTATTTGTATTAATATACTAAATAAGTTTTCAAAACAATGGAGTGAGACTTTTATATCAAAATTGTAATCCTTGCTTAACTCCGGATAAAGTTTATCTACTATGATGACCAGTAATTTTTTTCTGGACTATTTGTTTGTGTTTTATTTTAAAAATAAATTTAAATTTGTAAATATAATTAAATAAATACTTATGATAAAAAAAAATTATGTTGGTTATACATTTTTAGTGGTATGTTTATTTAATTATTAGGTTCAAATAAACGATAGATTAATAAATAAACAATAAATACCTTTGTGGTAGTTTTTTAAACTTTAATCTATTAGTGATTAAATGTAATAATTGAATAATGTAATGCTATCTATAAAGATTTCGAAAATCAATCGAATCATTGATGATTAAGAAGAAATAAAATGTCAGAAGATATAGTTGAACACAGACTTTGATTTAAAAAAAAAAAATATATTATTTATTAGTTTTCTAAAAATTAATATTAAAGATTCATATTAGAGATAAAAGGTATTTTCATTAAACATATTAACAAGGAACATCAAAATTTACGACAAAACTTGAAATATTTATTTTCATTATTTTGTTTTCGCCGCTTTAAAAAGCTCAAATAAAATGATCACATTATATATTAATAATAGAACAAGCAAAAAGCTCGAAAAGGGACATTATGAATGGAACAATACAAACCATAAAGCCATGAGTCACCAACATGCAGATGAACAGTTGACTAGCCAACGTTTCGGCGATTCAGGCATCATCATGGCAGCAAAAACAAAGTCACATGTATGCTGAAAAAAAGGAAGTGGAAAAAAAATTCTATTGATATCTCATTAAGTACAATTTCAAATTTGATATTTAGTCTTGTATACGTGATTCTGTATAATTTAATAACATGTTAAATACAAATAATAATAATGATTTATTTTCAATTGGATACCTATCATTATCATCCGATGGCGCTTGGTCCTTACTGAGCCCTGGCCTCCTCTACCATTTTCCTCCAAAGCGATCTGTCTTTGACCGCTCCTCTATATCCAAATACACTTCTTAGATCGTCTTCGACATCCTCCAGCCAACGAAGACAAGCCAGCCTCTTTTCCTTCTTCCACCCGGGTTTTCCTTCACCGTCATTTTAGGGAGTCTATTATGTTCCATTCTTTGCATATGACCCGACCATCTTATCCTTCCCTTGTTTATGGTGGATTTAATATATGTGGCATTATACAAGGTGTCTCAATTCTTAATGGCAAAACTCTGGAGGATTCTAGATTTAAACAGATATTTTCATCTATGACTTTTTATTGGATAGTTCGTGTACCACCTGGAACATTTTTGTGCACCAACTTTTAAAAAACCACTGGAATAAAGGAATACCACAATATTGAAAATTTGGGATGAATGCTGGTTAGGATTATATCATTAATTTATTTCCATTCACTTCTCTTTGGAAAAGTGGATTGGCTATCTAGATCATAATAAACGTATTCTCATTTCGTATCCCATTATTATTTTGTTTTTATTCATTCAGAATAATCTGATATTTTGAAGGGATTTATAATATTTTAAATTGAGTTTCTGATATTCACTGTGAAAAATATGGAATGTCAGTGAGATTTTTTCTTAAAAAACTTTCTTTAATTGACTTACTGCTTGTTTAGTTTTTTGCATATCAAATTGTGACTTGACAAATGCCAATTCATTCATATGCCAATACGGTGGTAAAATTGTCAGCAATCATGAGATGTTATGCACCAATATTTAACATTCCTTTTAGTATAAGTAAGACAGTTTACAACTAAGAGCGCAGCATGAACTTTTTAAAAATTGAATTTCATTAATTGGTAGTTAAAAATAAATTACCGAGAAAATTAAAATAATTGGGGTTAATCGGTATGTTCTCCACAAAGGACTCTTCCGGAACAAGATTTCATTTCATCCTTGTTATAATATAATGATCCGAAATTATGTATATCGAAAAATCAATGAATAATATTTATTTATTCATTTGCATATCTACTTAGCCTTTTGATCAATACGAGATATATCAGCGGTTGTAACCACTAAGGTGAAATCACCAGTAATGGACAGGTTGCTCTTTAAATGTAAATAATAAGCTTCCTTGTTGATTTAAAGGTTCCAGTTTTTTTCTATATTGAAGAACAATGCCCTCTATTGATAACTGTATGAACAAAGTTCCCAAAAGAAAATTTTAAAATGCCTATCATTGTTGTTTCTATAGTTCTCCTGAGATCAGTGTGTTTCATACCTTCCTCCTAACAGTTTTTCTAAGAGTAAGTTGGGCATTTATGTTATCTTACCTCTACCGTTTCTTTATAGTTAATTAAAGATTTTAATTTTTTTTCTGAGGTACGTCTATTACTGGTACCGATCCCCTGCCCGTTGCTAGAACATTGAATTTCGGGATGTCCATCACTAGGTCAAAAAAGTGTTGTTTTTTTAATAGAGATTATAACTGCATAACTGAATACGTTTTTGAATTTTAAAGTGGTAAATAGAAAAAAGGAGACGCTAGAAATTATAAATGTCCAACGGAGAAGTTTATAACTATAATTATTACGGCGGCATAAGCAAAACAAGACAAACGTTTGCTTAGCTATGTCCATCACTGCTGCGTTTACACTACCACCAATTTTCTCTGCTTCTTTTAGATAAGATGGTTTCCCAACTAAATGCCAACTTTCCTAATATTCCTTACATAACTTTCCTAACATCCTTCTTCTATTGTACTTCCTCTGTGGGTCCTTACTAGGAATACTAATCAGAGGTAGACATATTTATTTACTCTTCTTGCAGATGAGCAGCGGAGCAGAAAGCCCGAAGAACCTCTACCTCGGGATAACTCCTGAGTTTCTAGACGAGGAGTCACGATCCATCTGCCCACTCTTGACTCCGTCCCCAACAGCTGTACACTTCAGACATCCTCTCTCCAGTCCAGGTAATATCTCTTTATTCTTAGTTTTAGCTTCTAGAACTATTTCAAAATTTCCAAATTATTTGCGAGAACAGGCGAAAAAAAAAAATCAAATTTTTAATATATTTTTAAACTTATTTATTGAAACATATTACAATCTGTCTCAAAGGACATTTATAATAGTGTTCAGAGATCACAGTCACGCTCTGTGTACAATAAATAAAATAAATTGTACAGAAAAATAATATATATATACGATAAATACGAATAAAATAATCTAAAAATAAATAAACAAATAAATAAAAGAACAATAAATAAATAAAAAAATAACAATAAATAAATAACAAAATAACAATAAATAAATTTAAAAAATAACAATAAATAAATATTTAAAAAACAACAATAAATAAATAAAAGAACATAAATAAAAAAAGAAACAATAAAAAAGACAAAAAAAGGAACAATAAAAAATGAACATTTAATATTAAACTATAGTCTTAAAAAAAAAATGTAATACTAAGTTTTAATACGATAAATAAATAATTATGCATAATTTCACAAGATAAAGCTCTATGTACAATAAATAAAATAAATTATAGAGAAAAATAATGTATACACAATAAATAAGAATAAAATAACCTAAAACTAAATAAAAAAAAGAACATTAATAAATTTAAAAAAAAGAACAATAAATAAATAAGTAAAAAAAAGAAAAAAAAACAAATAAAAAAGAACATTTAATATTAAACTAAAATTTTTAAACATTTTTTTTAATACTAAGTTTTAAGACAATAAATAAATAACTATGGATAATTTCACAAGATGAAGCTCTATGTACAATAAATAAAATAAATTATACAGAAAAATAATATATATATAGAATAGGTAAGAATAAAATAAGGTAAAAAAACAAATAAATTAAAAAAAAAGAACAATACATAAATAAAAAATAAATATAAAAAGAACAATAAAAAAGAACATTTAATATTAAACTAAAATTTTTAAATACTTTTTACTACTAAGTTTTTATAAAATAAATAAATAATTATGTATCATTTCACAAGATGAATCTAGTTTACGCCATAATCATTACTACATATGAAATAATTCTTATTCTCCGAAAGGAGTAGGATAAATATGTACGGTAGATATTTTGTTTTCATCTTAATTAGTCGGAGAATTCTTAAAAAATAAATAATGGAGCAAAAACCTGTAAGCAAAAGCGGTTGAAAAGTGAATACAAAAGCGGTTGAACATAAATACTGACCAGACCATACCATGTCCTTGTGTAAATCTTGGTGTTAAAACGATGCTTTCTTATGAATCTTTTTAAAGTTTTCTAATCCTAAAACAACGCAGTAATTTCTGCCGTACATTTTGTTAAGGGATCGGAGGGTATTAAGATAAAACTGTCGGATCCGGTCCACAAGCATCTTCAATCTGGCCCGCGAAAGTTTCTCTCATTACATGATAACTAAATAAAAACTATTTGAAAAACACGATATTTAGTAAATAACTCAAACACGAGATAACTACTACTATAATTGCATAAGTAGTTTCTATTAGATTATTCATTTAATTACTAAAGTGTCATTTTTATTGTTTTTTTTTTTTTGTTTTTTTTATCAAGTTATCAACACCCGCCTGACACTTAATAAATAGCTCATCGTAACCTACATAATTCTCAGAACCGAGGCGTTTTCAATCTGGAGATCGGCAAACGTTGTTTATTTAATGAGGGACTAAAAACTGGTAAACGCCCATTCTCTTTCCTCTTCAATTGTAAGATATTTTGAGGAAAGTATCGAGAAAAAAGGTTGCCTTCATATTGAGCCGTTTGGCGTGATCTACACCCCCAAAATAACGAGGTTATATAGGCCAAATGGCCCAATGTTTTTCTAGAATATGTTTTTTCTCGATTTTTTGATAAAATTATCTTACGATTGAATTCGAAAGCAAATGGGTATTTACGAGTTTTTAGTATCTCATTAAATAGACAAAGTGAGCCGATCTCCAGATTGAAAACACGTCAATTCCAAGAATTTTCGTAAATAAAATATTTGTTGGTACGATGAGATATAGCTATTTACGAAGTTTCAGGCGGATGTTAATAATTTGATAAAAAGAGTTCTGTACCACGGACTATAATAAATAAGAAATAATAAAGCCATTTTCCACACCACATTCGAAAATGAATGTACATAAAAGCTTCTGCATCGATAACTAAATCTTGGGAATATTCGTAATAAAGGAAACTATTTAATAAACAATACATTACTTCATTAGACAAGGCAACTTGTGATGCATCCATTCTCCTTGCAAAATCAGCACAATAGTTGCCAATCAATCTATAATTATCTTAGCGTACTCGGTATAAGATAGCTTCCTGTAATGCTTTATCAGCAAAAAAAACTTTTCTTGAACCTCAAGTCAATTTTAACATTTCTTTTTTTAACTTTTTATGCTACCATACTTTATTTTGACGAAGGACACGCTTGTCACAAAATTGCTTCAGCTGGTAATGAACATAAAATATAATTTAAAATATTCTCATTTCTAGTAATACTACAATTTTAATCATATTTACCATAACTCAAATCCACTCCATAGCCGTGACAACATGAGGAGGTCCAAGATCCTCTTTAAATTGAGTCAGAGGTTTGATAATTTCTAAGTGATCTGAGACAATTTTGAAGAATTGGCTTTTAGGATATTTTTTTTCACACTCTCATTTTTTGTGTTTGTGGCTTTTAGGTTATGTACTCCTCTGCAGCCCCATCAAATTGAGTCAGTGTCTTGAAAAGTTGTACGTGCATTGATGTGGTGATAGAAAACATTCTTTTGTTACTATTAGTGTTTTCCAAAATCGGTCTTGGTCATGCACTTTTCTAGAACAAGATCAAAGCCGCCTAACTGTTGCAAGACCAAGACCAGGCGTGGTAAAAAAAAATCGATTTTTTAAAATAAAAATTAATGCAAAATAGTTACTAATACTCGACAATCTTAGTTACTATATGTTAATAATTGGTATAACCAATGTACATTTGAATTTAACTCCTCTAATTTTTCATTCGGGCTTAGTTAGGTTTCTCCTATCTAAAAACTTACAGTAATATATCTCCTAAGGTAATAAGTAACTGCAAGACTCTTGCGCAAGACCAAGACTGAGTTTGCTAGACCAAGACTCTTCTCGGTCTCGCATTTGGGCAACACTAGTTAGTATCAACTTTGTTCTCTTGTACCCACCATTATGATAAATTATATTCGAAACGAATTATTACATAGTGAATAACATTTTTTCAAACAAAAATGAGGAAAAATAAACCAGTATTGTTGCTCTGCTGTTAGATTAATATTTAATACAACTATTTTTTTTTAATATCTTATATTTTTCTTGGAATGAATCTAATGTTCTAAAATAAATTTACATGATTTTTTGTTTTTGTTTAGAAATATAGTAATCTGTCTCGTGGACAATAACTATAGTGATATATGAACACATTCACGCCATATATACAGAAAATATAAAATTAACAAAAGTAAAATAATAACTAAATAATAATCAAAAACTATGTACAATAAATAATAAAATAACCTAAAGCTAAGTAAATTAGAAACGCAGTCATACCTATATACATTATTAATACCTTTAAATAGCTAAACTGATTCAGCTAGACTCAGAGCTTAAATTATTCTCAATGCTTTGATGAATGAGATTTATTCATGTAATGCTGCTTCGTATATTACACTTTTGTTTTTCCGCTGATTCATAATTAATTATTTGTCGTGCCTCTATTCTCTTTTAATGGTTTTAATTGGACTTCTTGCATAAATAAGTATTTAACTGCAAGTTCCATATTTTGATAAGTAATTAATCCATTCTTTAAATGATAGGAACTAAACAGCGAAAGAACTAATTATTTTCCAAGTTCAATTCTAATGATTACGTATTTCTAAACAAATATAATTTTCGGGTAGTACATTCAGAAGGAAAAATAAATTATATAATTCTGATATAAATTCAGTTGTCTTTTTTTAAAAAAGTATTTCATCAGATTGATATTATAGAAAATCCCTCCGGATGGGAACTTAATAAATTCAAATTATTGTCAAGACCATGGATTTAAAATTGGTGTAATATTATTATAAGCTTTTGATAATTAGTTTATGTTGCTAACGTTTTTGATTCATATAACTCCAGTGATCAAGTCATATCAACTCAAACATTGAGATAACTCTTAGACGAAATTACTAGAACTTCAGTAAGGAATTTTAATAAATAATTAAATTCTCTTTCAATTATTTTAATATTATCAACAAATTGATTAATTAGTTTATGATGTATTTTAATTATATGATTAACTCTAGCAACACTAAACGTAATAACTTAAACTGTTGGCTCTGGAAATAAGCCATAATTTATATTGCTAACGAAATTACCTCTGAAAAATTTGATTAAGTTTTTCTGTTCATTTTTCCTACTTTTGGTGTCTTGAAGTTTTTTTATTTGTTACAATAAATTAGGCCATTTTTCACCAACCTTTTATTATTACGCATCAATTTAACGTTTCGACCATACTTAGGGTCATTTTCAAAACTTGATGAGTCCTCCTAATGTGTTCATCCTTAATGTTCTAATTAATAAGTTCAGTGAACATTACTTGTCAATTTTTATAGGTGCTTCGCCTACGTCATTTCAGGAGGGGCTGATTAATTTTATTTCTTCAACCTCAAGGCAAATTATATTATTAATTATTTGCCTAAATTATTAAATTATTTAATTAATTACTGCCCAAACGAACAGGTTACGACCAGCAGCATAGTCCATCCAGCGGCGATACCGAAATAAGCAGCCTCCCTGCCGCTCTCTGCACCAGGGCTGAAAAATCACCTATCACCGAGACAGGTAGATATTTTTTATTAATACATATATTTAAATTTACTTATTTTATTACAAATTGTAATTGCTTATAATAACATTTGGAATATTAGTTAGAGTGGTAGTAATCCAAGTGCAATATACATTTGTAAATAATTCAAATGAAGTATGTATTATGTACGAATTATTTCGAAATGTATATGATACCTCATCTTCGGTTTTAAGGAAAAAATTTGCACTCAGATATTTATAGGTTTAAAAAAAAAAAATGTCTTCTGGTGCTTATAGTTTTTTGAAGCTTCATTTCGGGAGTGGGGCGAGAAAACCTCGTAAATCTGAAAAAATTCCCAAGTCTGTTAATTATAATAATCAGAGCAACGGACTCCTATGGATAAGTTTTTAAAATATCGTGTCATTTGGTCCTCTCTTTATTGTTCTAGAGAGCTTGGAAATAACTTCTAATCTCTATAGAAATATAAAATAACTTTATTCTCGGACCAAGTCCCTTTAGAATAACAAAATAGTACATAATTAAAATACTACATATGGCCAAAATAAAACATAGATATCCTTTCGTGTGTGTGTGATTGCAATAATTTATTCTGTAAAATCGTTTGAATAGAAATATAAGATTTTCTCATACAGGGGGATATACAGGGTGTTTCGTAATTTCACAGCACTGTTTTAGGTATGTGTTCACTAACACATAATAAACCAAAAGTTCATAATATCATATATCTCAAAGTCATTTAATTAACAGATAACAAAGGTTAAAGATTTATTATTTATTTATTATTATTACAATATTTAGAGTAACTGTTCACTTATTACAGATTTATTATTATTACAATATTTAGAGTAACTGTTCAAAGGGGACTCCGTCTTGTTGAATCCAACATTCAGCACGACGAATCCATGCTTCTCTGGCTCTTTGTATAGTATCAGGATGGTGCTCGATAGTTACTGAGGCTTCTATACAGTACTTCGCGTCCCGGTGCCAACGCGTCTTTAAATACCCGTCCACACCCCCTGGCCCGGGAAAACCCCGTATAGCCTTAACGGCGAGGAAGGAGAGGACCCAAAAAAAAAAAAAAAAAATACTGCGCCTTCCACGATCCGATTTCTTAGCTCTTATTGCGTGCCAACTGTCGCAGAATAAATCATAGACTACTGCAATTGCTTATCGTTCATTTGTTTATCAGGTGTTTAAAACCTGTTATTTAGTAATAAACACGTTAAACTTTGTACAGTCGGCCTTAATGTAGTAAATAAATAATAAATCTTTAACCTTTGATATCTGTTTAACAATCGAGTTTTGTATTAGTGAAAACATACCTAAATAGTGCCGTACAATTACAAAACACCCTGTAAATAAGCTGTGAAATATAAACCTCATATTTAACAGCCCTAGCATCTGCAACAAGTGCAATTTTTAACAAAACTCTTTTTATAATCTAATTTCAAAGCCGGTAAGGACTATATACCTCAGGATTATTTTACATTCCAGTAAATGTGATGTTAATGTTTACGTCATTTCCTCTCATTTTGCCCCTTTTTCCAAAAAAACGTTGGAACGTAAAGGATCTAATTTCTTTTTTTTTTCAAGAAATTTTGTGAATCTTAATGATATTTTGGTAATCAGAAGCTCTGTTATTATTGTTTTAATGATAACAATTTGCATTACTTCTACCTTAAATAAATAAATGACTAAATTTTGAGTATTTTTGATGGATATTTTCTACTATTTACTACCAATGGTGTAATTGGGACTTTCAATTCTGCGAACCACTTTCAATTGTTTTATGATTTTTTTGGTATATTTAGACATTTTTTTTTTAATATATCTAGAAAAGAAAGCGATAATTACTGATTTTAGTAGTGATACTTTAATTTCTTTATTTTTTTATTTTACTTCTAAACCCAGGTCGCCTCATCACGGATGGCCTTGAAGGTTCGTCATCCTCTTCTTCATGCTCCGTTATGCAGGACAGCGGTGCATCTGCCCAACTCCTAAATTACTTCACACTTTCCGCAGACCCATCCGCTATCGTGAGTAACTAAAATATTTCAATAGTTTTATTGCTTATATAAATACATGCATATTAATTTATACAGGGAGTGGGATAGCTTAGTGGTAGGGTACTGAGATTCCAATGCTAAAGGCCCCAGGTTCGAATCCCAGCTCATGGCAGAAAAATTATTTATTCTGCTTCATTGGCCGTGAGGCGACCCTGGGTAGATAGGCCCTCCTGGGGCACAACCAGTCTCTATGAACTGGGTACTCTTAATTAAAATAATTAATTAAAGGGGAAAACCTGGCGGTTAAGCTTGTTCTCGGTCAAATCACCTCCTTGCAGAACCATAGACCAAGAAACAGTGCTTTCCCTAAATAGTACTGAACTCAAGAATCTTCATGGGTTGTAGTGGTACAGGTTTTTTTTTTTTTTTTTTTTTTAAACGTATACAGCATGTCCCTTTAATTGAGGGAAATATTTATAGAGCTCAAGCGCTACGAAAAAGGTTATATAAACTATTTTTTCGGTAGAAAAATAGGAAATTTGAGTTTTCTGTTTTTTGAAGTGTCACGTTTTCCGCTGAATAAGCTTATATAAAGAGGAAGTTTTTACAAAAGTAGAATATCAGTAGTATAGTTGGAGGATGATAAGAAAACGTTGTGATTTAATTATGATTTTTTTAAAAAACAGAACTTAAGTAGGTTTAACTGCTCAGAAATTCATCTTTAAATAATCTTAACACTGACAAAGTCTACTTTCTTTTAAAGTAAACTTTGCCTAGTTTTCCGAGAAGCAATTGTTAATTGCTTAAAATAAATTTTTTTAAATTTATCAACACCTATTAAACAAAAAACGTGACACTTAAAAAAACAGAGATCTTCAATTCTGCTGAAAATAGGACTATTGTTTATATAGACTTTTTTATAGTTCTTGAGATATGCTATCACTCCTATAAATATTTGTTTCTTCTAAATATATTTATATTTTTCTATAAATATATTTATTTATTTTTAATATTTTTTTTATTTTATTTTATTACATATATATATATATATATATATATATTATATATATATATATATATATATATATATATATATTATATAATATATATATATTATTTATTTATTTTTTCCATTAAACCTACCAGTTAAATATTTTAATAATAATATTTTATGGATGAGGCTCTGATGACCTAGATATTTTGCGCCTATAACACCAAAACAACCAACCAACCAATATTTTTTTTTACTGAACACTCGGTATACACTCATACACATTAAACCATGCAGTTATGTTGGACCCAAATTTAATATCACTCTAAAAAATGTTTTATTTGCCGGTAATTAAATAGATCTTTTTTTTAAATTTAGTTTCAGTTGTGCGATATTGTTTAATCTACAATTCATCGGGATTATCAATTTTATGTTATATTAATTTACTCTGCTACAACTACATTATAAGCCCTCTTATATAACTATAATTCAATTAAATAATCTAAAAATATCAAAAAGAATTTTAAAGTGTTTGGCATTAAGAGTGCTCTTCTACTAGTGATGTAACCATGTTGGAAGGTATCTTAAGCTATGAAATATTATATTAATACATAAACCATTTTTTTAAATACTCATAAAAAAAATACTCATTGGTAGACCATAGTATAATATTGAGTAAAGAGGTGATTCAGGGTGACGGTTATAAAAAAAAAAATTGTTTTGTAACATTATTTATGGCATACAGTAGTAATGTGGTAAACCATTACTACCGAGCAGTGCTTGATCCACACAATGACCAAAAAGGGAAAATAATTTACTTCCCAAATTAACAAACAATTTATTAATAAAAAATAATAATAATAATTTAAAAAAATATGGCTCCTTAGAATATACACATTACCAATACTTGTGAATAAATTATCATTGAATTGAAAATGACTCACTTTGAAAGAAATTGATCATTGTAGACCCATCCATGAAATTAAGCAAATATCTTGTCGATGACTACGATAATTGACTTTAATAGTTCAAGGCATAAAGTAGTTAATTGATCGATTTATAACAATGTCTCTTACAGACGAGGTAATATTTCTCTCTAATTATGTGATATTTCCTGATAGTTCCCCTTCCAAAAACTACCTTTGGATTCAACCCTGTTATCGAGATTCTTTCCTTTCATTAAAATATCTGTAGATTTGTACTTTATTATTTATTTTTCATAAAATGTTGATTATTTTTATCAATCTCTTTACTCACAAGCACTGACTAAATTTAACTAAACTAGGACTGATAACTAAACATAAAACTAGAACTAATATTAGTTACCGTTATGTGACAATGATGTTTTACCCCATAAAATAAAACAACCAATCAGCACATATAATAGTCTAAATAATGAACCATTTATTCGTTAGATGATGAAGATTCTTAGGGTGACAGAACTGAAGCATTAAAAACACGGTAAAACACTATTTTATTGATCCAATACTCAATCTACTTTCAACATAAAGTATAATCATAAGTTGTACCACACTTAATTATATAATATTATTATATAATTAAGTGTAGTATAATTTTAATTTTATACTTAATTTATATTAACCGCAATTTAGAATTTTCTTTGCTTAAAAATATTAATATTAACCAATTCGAGGTAAACATTTCATTTTTGTCCAAAAAACTAACAAACTAGGTGGAATTTATTTTGATTAAATTTTCGTTGTATTATATAAATTAATAGTGACTTCAGATTCTAAGGATTACAATAACAAACTGTTGTAGGTACTTTTTCATGAATGCAGTTCGCTCTATAAGTAATTAATTATCTAAGGATTGTTTTTCTTTGCAGGAAAAGGGAGGCCTCAAATCCGTTGTAAACTTACTTGGTCTAAGTAAACAAGCACAAGAATACAGCTTTGTATCCTGGAACTGGACTGTGATCCGGCGATGGTGCTTCTGGGGTGTTATGTCCCTCGCTGTCGCTTGCATCTGCATCATCATAGGTTACATATCCACCATACCTCGACGGTGCGACCCCTCCAGATCATGGTACCAAGGAACTCTAATCTACCAGATATTCCCACCGTCCTTCCAGGACAGTGATGGCAGTGGGGTTGGTGACCTCAAGGGGATCACATCTAGAATAGGCTATCTTGATAGACTAGGAGTCAGAGGAGTAAGATTAAGCTATATCTTCCCATCTCGTTCATATCCAGAACACTTCCAAAATCCAGAGAACCTCACTCAAATAGATCATACCATTGGCACTTTCAAAGATTTCGAAGTTATGCTGGAAAGCCTTCATCGAAGCAACATATCTGTTGTATTGGATATACCACTCTTCCCTTTTTTCGATCGACTAAAGATGAAGAGTGATGAAGAAGAACAAGAAGTAAAACATGTAATTGTAAATAACCATATTTTGGTGAGCACGACGAATAAAACCCACGGATGGGTTTCCGAAAGAAGCGAAATAACTGACGTACTATTGTTTTGGTTGAACATCGGAGTTGATGGATTTTATCTAGAAGGTTTGGAACATTTCTTGACCGATGAACTCTTCATCAGCCAAATCTTCGAGTGGAGGGCTATATTGAACAAATATAACCAAGGCTTTGAAAAGATTCTCATCTGTTCAGAAGAAGTAGTAAAGTCTCTTACTAAGAATATGCACACCATAGCGAATGCTGAATCTAAGTTGAACGTTGTGATGAAATCATTTGACTTGATAAATGTTCATCTGGATCCGTTTACCAATGGTGTACCAAGCATTAAGGAAAAACTTCATGAAGTTCAGAATGGTGTCATCTACTCGAAGCCTGGTTATCCATGGGTTTATTGGACTAGTGGAGGAGTGGATACTCTTCGACTGGCTAGTAAAGCCCCTTATGGCAATGTGACGATGGCTTTACTTCTTACTACAATGGCCCTTCCAGGAACAACTGGTATATTCTATGGTGACGAGATAGGTCTCCTGAATGTAGATGATGAACAGTTTATTGTAAGTATTACATAATATAATTGTTTAATATATTAAGACACTGTTTATTTTAGACATATATTCAAAAAGGGTTAAAATTTTGGTTGCAACCATTTGTTTGATAATAACTCTGTACACATTTTTTATAAATGATAATTGATTTTAGGATGTGCAGCACCTACACCAGCTTGCTCCAATGCATTGGTCAGATTCTCCGAATAGCTATGGATTTGCAGTGAGAAACATTATACCTTGGATGAAAGTTACTCCATCCCGACTTTCTTTATCTGCCACCCAATTTATAACACAAATGTCCATCATTAAAGATTCTAGTCCTGGATTATATATGAATGCCATGTGGAAAAATGACAGGCTCATACCAAATTCGGAGATCAGGTACTTAAATTATAGATCATTTTTAATTCCCTTTGATAGGGTTATTTTTTTAAAAAAATGTGTGTACACTTACAAAATCAGTTTCATCTTGTTCTTTTATTTCTAAATGAATGAATATTCAACCACTGTTAATCTTTATGTTTAAAGAACGTGGTAAAAATCTGTAACATGAATTGAATCTCTTTGCAAACATATATTCTTGTATTAACAAATGTGAGTTATATTCTTATATTATATAAAAATCTGATAATTTTATCATTCCAACCTTAGTCTTCAATACTTGTTTTACTTATCAATAGTTTTGCTTTTAGTGAGATAAAAAAATCTTTACAGAAGCTGTAGCATTTGAAAAATGAGTATATCTGTTAAATCTGTTTTATTCTTGATTCGCTATATGAATGTAAATTTGCGAATTAATGGAAAGAAATCATGATTAATGGATATATGATTATATGAGTGTGTTTTATTTATATTTGAATTATTTTTAATGATAAATTTCAATTTCAGGTACATTGACGAAAACGTTCTCCTACTGGAAAGGAATTATCCAAGAAGGCACACATTCCTCCTAATGGCCAATATTGGCAAAGAAAAATTGATGAAAGATTTTTCATCTCATTATTACGGTGGTGTTCTAATACTTGACACATCCGGAGGAGCAGAACGGTATGCCACATTCCAAGATACACAATTAGTTCCTGGACAAGCTATAATAGCCAAGCTGGATAAATAGTCATCAGAAGAAGTAGCATCTTATATTCCTAATTGTTTCACTTAATTTAATAAATGGATGAAACACGTTTTTTTATTTATTTATTTTGAAAAAACAATTATCTCAGTGAGAAAGCTATTCATTGTATTGAGCAATCTATATTGTCTTTTAACAACAACAACAACTTAAAATTGTACATCATTTGTGGCTATTCTCAACATTTCTTTTATTTGTTTTTTCTGTTAGTGAAAATGAAAGATGATATTTTTGTAATTATCTACCAAATATTATTATGTATTACAAAAGTAAAATATTTAAAATTCAATTTAAATATAATTATTGCCAATGATTTCTATTTTTTAAATGACCCTCATTTTTTTTCTCTGTATCCTATTTTGTCATCTTGTCAATAATAATTAATTTTTAAAAATATGTTTTGTTATTTTATTTAATTTATTTGAGAGCTATAAAACTTCTTATTTGATGATTTTTTTTTTTAAATAGTTTTGTGTTGATTTTTTTTTTTTTTATATTGCTTACATTTAATTTTTGATGCCTACACATCTTATTAAACCTGTTAATAATTCTTATATTTTTGTTTTATTCCATAAATTATGTAATGGTCAGATTTAAAACCTTACCATAAACTTGCTTGTAGATATAGAATTTTTAGACTATTTCTTTTTTATATTGCTTACATTTAATTTTTGATGCCTACACATCTTATTAAACCTGTTAATAATTCTTATATTTTTTTTTTATTCCATAAATTATGTAATGGTCAGATTTAAAACCTTACCGTATACTTGCTTGCAGATATACAATTTTTAGACTATTTTATTGTCTTAATGTCTAACTTTTTTGCCAACCCCAAAGAGAATGTAGCAATGAAGATATTTTTTCATCTCAAATCTTTTAGTTCTCCAAATAGAATTTGAAAGGCTATTCATTCAATTGGGGAACATTTTGTTTTAAAATTTTATCAGAGCCTAGACTAGTATACCTAAGCAATACTACAGACAATCCTTAATGAGCTCACTTTAAATAGCGAGAAGACAAAAACATTCCAGATGGGATACCCCTCACTCCTCGAATCCATTCCTGTACCTCTAAATCTTCTTCTGAAAAAAATATCTCCCATCTGTCTTATATACATATAATCCATCTCCTGGAAAACTACACATTTCCCGTTGTACTATTTCTACCCTGAAACAGTTCAACTGTCTACGCTATCTCCTTCCATTCAAAACTCTTCAAACTCTGGTTTCCTCTCTTTATTTCTCTCACTTTGACTATGGCTACCTTCCTATACAATGCTATTAGAACTCAGCGACCCTCCTATATATTTCTCAGAGCCTACAATTTAATTCCTTCATTCAATCCCATTCCACCAGATATTCTACTTCTGACCTCTATCTTCCTCCTCACCAAACTTTAGCGTTTGAATAATCTGATATCTGACATGCACAATCAGTTTTCTCTTTCAAATCTCTTCTCTTTAAGCATCTATTCCATTTTAGATTCGATTGATCATGAAATGCACAGAAGAAAACTCCCTAAGTACCCTCAGGTACTATTTTGTTTCTTTACTTTATTTAATTTTTCTCTGTTTCTTTTATATATATGTATACTTCTTTTCTATCTTTATAATACCTGTATTTTTACTCTATATTACCAATTATTTTGTAAATATTTAATTTTACTTATTGACATACTGACTTGTTTTATTTATATTCTGCAGTTATAATTTGTTCTAAAGCAATACTAGTCCCAAAATAATATAATTATTTTCATTTTATTTTATATCAGTTACATTTTATATAGTAATTGGTAAGGATGTATGCCTGTTCCTTGACATATGGATGAACAATGTGGGCTAAGACTATTCTCATGATTTTGGTTAATTCTTCTGAATAATCAGATAGCCACTTATTAGAGATTGATGTGCTGCAGGAAAGTCTTTCAAAACCAGAAAACTAACAACTGATAGAACAGAAAACAAATTTCACAGTGCTAGAAAATGGCTAAGAAAGTCGCAGTCAGATACTGTGCCACACTCAGTAAATAAAAATCATACATAACACGTTGTGAACCATAGAAGTATTCTTTTAAAAATGTACTGTATAATAATAAACTTTTTTTAAAAAGTTAAAATAATTCACTGGTTAGAATTTATTTTTAAATTTCACCCCCCCCCACTCTCTGTTCTTTGAAACATTTTTTTTTTCACTTCAATGTTAAAACAACAAATAATATATATATATATATATATATTATATATATATATATATATGTGGGGACTGGGGTAGTCCTGCCAGCTAAAGTGCTTGTAATAGGTAATCAAGTTAAACAACGCCCGAGCGTGGTTAGCACTATGATGGGTGATCGTCCACCTGGGAAAGTCAAGCTGCCCGAGACCTTTCCCTCTCCCGGGTTTGTGAGGCCCGTCAAATTACTCGAGGCAACTCACACCGACCGGACTGATGACCCTACCCCCTTGTCCTTAAATCAGGAATCGGGATGTGGTCTTCTTCAAGACAATTCGCGGTCAAAGATCAACAAGGTCTGTAGCGCCAACCGAGGAAAAAAAAAAAGAAAGAAATATATATATATATATATATATATATATATTATATATATAATATATATATATATATAATATATATATATATTATTAATACTTTTCCCATGTGTTTTGTTAAACAATGTACTTCTACTGGCTTACAAACATCAATATGCACATATTCTATTATTAATCGGCATGAAATCTACGATATTGCTACTTTGAACTTATAAGCTAAGCTTCTGTCTAATTTTATTTTTTTAAATCTTTGATTATATCAATTTTATGCATCTCTATGATTTTTCAATCATATAGGTACAAGGATTTACGACATTTTTTAAAAAATATGATACTACTATTTATCATTGATGAGTGGTAACACTGACTACTACATCGGCACCTCAGTCTAGTCTCTGCTGTGTACTGGTGTACTTCGTAACAGTTATAGTAATTCAAATATAACTGTCAATTCTGTTTATAAGAACTTAAGACTTTCCAAATCATTGAGAAGGTAATGAACGAGGAATCTCCTCAGTTATTAAAAAATAAGGTACTGACGAATTTAATGTATGCTCATTAAATTAATCAATCCTTGATGCATGTAATTAAAAACTGATATAATGTACTGAAATATTCAGCTGTTCTTCCATGACGTATTAGAAGAAAAAATAAATTATATATAAATTTAAAATAAAATATTCACTAATAAACCATTGTTTAAACTTCGGCTGTACTTGTCTGTACAAGTCCGAACATTGTACTTCGTCCTCACTCGGAACTTAGCTCTTTATCCGCGCAGTTCTGAATAATGATATAATTATTTATTATAAAAGAAGTCTATTTCATCGCCTAATGAATTATAATATTTAAACTATCTGAGCAAGAGACAAAGAATTTTCTCTGTTTTTTTTTTTTTAGAAATAAGTTACTGTAATTTTTCAAAAAAAATATGGTCTGTTTGATTAACCAGTTCTTAATATCTCCAAGGAACTTATATAACTCTAAGGATATACATAAATGTTTAATAATTCTTTAAGATGGGTGATAAAATGAATATAACTCTTTATTTTTCTACTCCTCCTACTTTGGACAAACAAGTAGCTATGTACCGATGCACTTTATTATATATTTATTTAGGTTTTTTGATATATGATGACTTCAACTACATCTATAAATGAACCATGATTTTCATACTATTTGAGTTGTTTTGTAATACGTATTAAAATCTTAAATAATTATTACTGACAATTAAATATCTCAATTAAAGATATATGTATACGCTGTGATGGAGGTAAATGTTTGACGATAGTTTGGTTGTGTTAGAAATTAAATAAATTAATTTTAATTTGACTCCATTACTTTGAACTTTGGACACCATGTGAGTCTGCCAGTTGGAACATGCTGCTTTGAAGTCAGTGTAGTCCCTACACTGCAATGACAAAGTTCTTAATTATGATTTGTGTATTCCATACATCAGAAGTTCAACTGCATCAACAAATGAGTCTTGGTTTTTAAACTATTACCTAAAGAAAATAAGAGAAAGATTTCTCTACAATTTAGAAAAATGTTACTGTTCAAATTATTAAATAAATATAACTGCTTGTTAAGTTAACCAATTATCTATTTATGCACTACAAACATAATCATACATATTTAATGATAGATCAATTATGTTGTAAAAATATAACAATCGAGTTTGATTTGAAAAAAAAAACAAAAGAAATAAAAAAACGAGGACAGAAAACGTCTTCTTTCATAAAAGGGGACATTTTTTTGGTTTTTGTAGGAGGGAGGTTTTCTTCGGAAACTTCTCTAAATAAGGCAATATATCGACAACCATACTACAAAAGGCCTTAAGGACAATTTCTTTGGGAAATGAGGTTTTGAGGTTTTCTGGTCTATCTTGTCCTGGAGCATATTCTGATCTCACAAAATGAAATCTAAGATGTTTCAGTTCTTCTCTGAAGCCTTTTATAAAAACCTGTAACTTAAAACCAGCAATCCATACTATCTATAATCACTTATAGATTAAATATACAGATGTAATTTCAAATTTCTCTAAACAAATATGGCTCGAAGTTAAGTGATTTACAAAAACAGTCGGAGTTAAGAGGTTTTTATTTCCTGCCATCGATATAAAATAAATAGGGATTGTTTTATTTTAATGGCGTTAATGAATTTTTAGAGATTATCAGTAAGGTTTAAGGTTTGGCTCCGTTAAGAATACGTTTCAAAAACTTTGTAATAGCCCAACATAGCCAGATAATAATTTTATGAAAATGTATTTCCGCCTGTCAACTTATTGTTGACAATCAAAAAAATGTGCTGGTGATATAGGAAATACTGACATGACAGCAATGGATAAGGAAATTACTCAGCAGTACCTCTTCCTTAACTTGTTCCAATTACTTAGGTTTTTTAAGGAAGGAGATCCCTCATCCAATGTCTTTTTAGTCTCCTCCTCATGTTCTAAGGTATGTCAGCTATGGCCATGTCTCTTATTAGTCTGTTATTATGTACGCTTAATTTAGAGTAAAATCGTTGATAAAGTGTTGGAAAATGGAGGTCAGAATGTAGATTATATATATTTTCTGTATATATTGTTTATATCAAAAATATATGAACAATATATTTTCTACACAACGAAACCAATAATTATTTGTAAGATACTTCCTATTGTAAAAGTATTAATGAGAAATATTTAATCCTATTCAGAACTCATTTATTTATTTTTTTAAGGCATGTTATTTTTTATCAAAGATATTTTTCAGATCTTCCTTTCCAGATGAGG